GTTGCAGCGTAAATAAGTTTTCAGAAGTTTATGAATTATTTTGAAAAAAGGTCCAAATTGCTGCTTCGTATTTTTCTTGAAAACACTGTATCCCATTGCAGGGGGGAGGGTCCCAGTCATATGGTGAAAAGGAGAAGTTTGAATTGCAAAAGTAATTCGCTAGCCAAGGACCGAAGCAACTAAGGAACCGGAGATGACTTGGAATTAGCAGAGATACACCTCAGCGCTAGATTACACGATAGCTGCTTGTTAAGTAACATATAGGAAGCCAGAACTATATAAAAATGACCTTAAAGGAGGCTGAACTTCGAAAACATCCAAGAACAAACACATGATGAGATGAAACCAGGAAGTGCGTGAACTGTCAACATTTAAGGGCGCGGCATCTGCATTTACGTAGAAAGTGCGAACCGATGAATTCCCAGTATTTTTGAACTGCAGGAGAGTTTTCTTTCTTATCTGTTTCATCACTCTTTGACCTTAACATCTTCTTCTCCATCAAGGGCAGTTTCCTCGAAAATGTCACTTAGTGATAAAGCTCCTTTTGTTATGCTCGAAACTAGGTTAGTGAGGTTATAACTTTTGTCTTCTTCTTTGTTCTAAAAATTACATTAATGTAGCTTTCTTTAGCATGGGGAAAATATGTCTCGAGCTCTATTGGGACCATGCACCAAAAACTTGTCGAAACTTTAGTGAATTAGCTCGAAGAGGATACTACAATGGTACCATCTTTCACAGAATTATAGCAGATTTTATGATTCAAGGCGGGGACCCTACGGGAACTGGTAGGGGTTTGAAGACTTCTTCTATTGAAGCTTGTAATTAACTTTGAATCTACATCAGGCAGAGGCGGAGCGTCGATTTATGGGGATCGCTTTGCCGATGAAATATCCGAAAAGCTTAAGCACACTGGAGCGGGTATCTTATCTATGGCTAATGCAGGTTTGTGGCTTTCTTGTTACTACAGTACAACACGTTATCTTTAACTTCAGGACCGAATACAAATGGATCACAATTCTTCATCACTTTAGCTCCCACCCAACACCTTGATGGCAAACATACAATATTTGGTAGAGTTGCAGCCGGAATGAAGGTAAGTAAACACATCATTATCATATCGGAAGTGTGACAGAATGCCGTCTTAATTTTATTATTTTTCTTCCATTTTTACAGTTTTTTTGATTACTGAGTATTATTTCACTAGTATCTGTATGAAATACTCTACGTTGAGTCAGCGGTTGTTGTCATTCGCATGCGCTAAGATCCTGTTGATCTCCAACTATTTGGATTTGCTAGGCGTTTTTCCAGTCTTTACAAAGTATACAAAATATGGGCATTATTGCGCTTTATACGCAAGAACTCCACTTCTGATTTTGCTTAACTTTGTCTAGGGCGTTACTACAGCTAATTACGAATATCATATTCACTGCTCATATTAGCGGGTGACTTACAGCTGGGGTTGTGTGATGCATCAAACTGGGGTAGCGAAGCTTCACATCATTGCCAATAATCTGCTTGCAATCAGATCCACAAGCAAGAGCAGAGCTTTTAGGAGGAAATTGGTAGAACTGGAAAGTCTGTTGGAAATTTCGGGGTTATTTCGTTCATTTTTGCTACATCTGTTCCGGAGCTATCTACCTCATTCAGTGTAAGCGCTTATTGTGGAGATACGCTGGCTGAACGGCAGCAGGGCGGATCACCAATCCGCATGATACTTTCTTATTAGGCGTATGTTACATGCTGATCATATGTAAGTATTCACCTTCATGCAGCACTTTAATGTAGATACACAATAGGGGAAAATAAATTTACATTAATACACTAACATGCTGATTACGTATTGTTATTCGCATTCATCAAATGATTTTACCAGAATTTCAAGCAAATCCTAAATGCGTATGATAGTGACCCGTGTATAAAGCTCAGCGAAATCCAAACATTGGGGTTAGAGAAAGAGGAACATAAAAAATTCATCGTGTTGTAGGTTGTTCAAAACATGGGCAAGGTCGACACAGACAATCAGGATAGACCGAAAGCTGAAATCCGGATAGTAAAAGCTTATCCTAGCGATGACTCACGGCTCAATTAACCGTCTTCTTTTTGTACTATATATCTTGTTTTTTCTATTATCCGTTGTTTTGTTCATAAACCATTTTCCCCGCTTTTCAAATAATTATTGGCTTGTATCTAGCGATAACATGCGCAGATGTTCGTTTGCCGCAGGATAATCTGAGAGCTGTTGTCATGATGCATTCACATTGTATTTATCATTTTATGTCTGAAATGGTTGATCTACAATTGTTATTCGCCATATTGTTTATGATTACGGTCTATTGGGACTCCAATTCACTAGTGTTTGTAGAATAGGGGTCAGGTAAAATGCAAATACATTCTCTCCATACTGTAGCACATCGGTGAGCTTCGTTCTCGAAGGTTATCGCAGCTTACTTTAAGCCTCACATCTGAGCTATAATTCATCTCCAGGGACCTCAGGAGTGTTTTTAGTTTTTGGTCGATCATGATCGTGAAAATCAAATGCTAATGATGGATAATGTCTGTATCTGATTTGTGAGAATCAAGGTTTTGAAACCTCTTTCGCATTGTCACCGACGTTCTCTGCCATCGCTGTATATTTCGCCAGTCCTTACAGAGAGGACTGCACCGCACATTAGAAGGAATTCAACGAGTGAACTTGGTTAGTACTGGAAATGGTCGGTAATTATATCCTTTCTCTTATCACTGTAACTCTTCATTCACACATCAGCATAATTAGTGAAGGATAATAGAATTGGAAACAGTGCTGTGGCCTGTACGACAAGTAAAAACAGGCCATCTAAGTATTTAATTACGTAATAGAAAATTTCAAAACTCAGAATAATAAGTCCACGGATACTTGAAGCTGCCTCTATCTGTAGCTCAGCCTCTTCTAGAGTCAGTGGCTAAGAATGGTTTTCTAATAATGGGTGAAGATGAACGTTATCTGCATTCGAAACAGGAAGTGACCAGTAAAAAATTTGTTCAGCATTGCACCGCCCTTAGAACTAGCCGAACACTCGTGAACACCCCTGCTTAGGAAGTTGTATAAACAGTTACACATTAAGTTTCTAATGATGCAAGCGTTCCAAAAAAGGCTTCCAATGAGGCTTATGAGCGGGTGTTGAGACTCTTGGGCGAAGGGTGGGCCCGTATAAGAAACAATGAGAAATGTGAAACACAAGTGATTGGTGGTTCAGTGTTTATTGCGAATACTGTACCGAGAACAACGAGTATGACCTTAGGTGGTCCAAGC